TAGGAATGAGAAGATGCATATAGAATATTAGTGTCAGAGCACATGGAGTTAGAAACTTATTAACTATAAAAAGATTGAAAAAATATTATTGGATTTAGCTTTCATATTTTTTAAATTCATAAAATTTCTTGAAATCATATAAATTCATAAAAATGATCTAAAATTCATGAAAGTCAATTAAATATTTAAATACATTTATTTAATTTTAAATTAAAAATTTAATCATAAAAATCTTTAAAAAAATTATTAATATTATGAAAATATTTCGGTACATTTATTATAATAATATAATTAAAATTAATTTTCATATTTGAAGTATTATTATTTTTTAAATTTTTATTTGACGATAAAATATTTTTAATTTTGACTCTCAAACAAGCACACCAAACACTAATATATTTATCTATAATTTTTTAAGTTACACAATATTTTTTTATACATCAAAATATGCTTTTAATATCTCGATCTCATATATCTTTTAGTTACAAGGGAAAAAAATATAAAATCCGTATAGTACGATATTTTGTATAAACGACTATTTCTAGGTTAGTAGGTTGTCTTTTGGCAACAATTTAGTATAATTTGTTTCTTAGCTATTGTGTTGTGAATGTGTTTGTCTTTTCTCTCCTTATCTCTTTGCAAGCGTTGGTTTTGGGTCACACGTTGTTTTTACTTTGCTCCAGATCTGAAATATTTCTTCTCCCAAAATAAGTAAATAGTATATTTTATTATTTATTTAAAATTATATTTTTATCCTTATCTTCATAATAATATATAATTTATAAATTTAATAATTTAAAAAATTAATGGGGTGTATATATATAATATAAAAGGAGTAATAATATAATGCTTTTTAAAATAAAAAGGATGAGATTTATATAGATTAAAAAAAAAAAAAAACTGAAATGCATGTGTCGTCGATATACTTATATCATTCTTTCATATTTAAAGTTAGACTGGTCATCACAATTATCAACTCTTTTGAGTATTTGAGTTTCATCAGTAGAGAATTAAATTCATGAATTCAACTATTATAATAAATTTTAATTTTTAATCTATTATTTGGATATAGTTTTTATAAAATATAAGGATTAAAAAAAATCACATACTTTAAGCATAATTTTCTTCTTTGTTATTTTAATCTCTCCTTATCCAAATATTCATTTAAATATGTTCAATAAATTCATAAAATACTTTTTGTAAACTGTAAAATTTCATCCTAAGTGTGAATTCTTTCCATTTTTTTACTCCAAAAATAAATTTACTATATATATTAAATATTCGTTTCAATTTTTAAGGACTCAATTTTATATATGAAAATTTCTTAATTACTGAATGCAATTGTAAGAAATAGTATACAGAGAGAAATTTGTTTAGAAACTCTTGGTCATAATTTATAAACTAATTAAGTTACCTAACCTACTTATTACACTAATTAAGATAGTTAAAACAGACTTAATACTCAATACTCATGAGATATAAGTCTATTAAAATATTATAAATAAATAAATAAATAAAAATTTCAAAGTATTTAAGATTTGTATATTACATATTCAATAACTTACTTATAAATGTTGGAGTGTTTCTTACTCATTAAATTTTCACGAAATAGAATATAAAACACATATTGAATTTCAAGGAATGGCACATTTCAATATTACAATAATTACTCAACTTTTATAAGAACAATAATAAAAATCAAGTTTCTAATTTACAAAATATACGATAAAGATGCCCTTGCATCTTCTAAGTTTTATGGTTTGTTGAATTTAAAATTTAATTTATTCAAATACCTTATTTAATAGAAATATATATATATATATATATATATATATAATATAAATATTAAAAAATTATACCGAAAATTGAAAAAAAAAATTACGTTAGGGTCGTCATCACACTATTATTCAAATCTTTTGAATATTTGAGTTAAACTCAATTAGTTAAACTAATCGTTCATTAATAGAATATTAAATTTAAAGGTACTGTTCATTAATAGAGTTCAATTTATTGTTTGTATTTGAAGTTAGAGTGGTCATCACTATTATTAACTCTTTTGACTATCTGAGTTTCATTAGTAGGGTATTAAATTTTTGTATTAAATAAATGAATTCTACTGCTATAATAACTTTTTTATTTTAATCTATTAGTTGTATATATTTTTATAAAATATAAAGATTAAGAAAATAATATACTTTAAGCATAATTATCTTTCTTTATTATTTTAACCTCTCTTTGTCCAAATAGACGTTTAATTATATTCAATAAATTCTTAAATTACTTTTTGCAAATCCTAAACTTTTATTCCAAACGTGAAAGAACTTCTCCCCTTTTTTACTCCAATAATAAATTTATTATAAAACTCAACATTCTTTTTTAATTTTTAAGAACTCAATTTTATATATGAAAATTTCTTAATCATTAAATGCAATGTAAGAATAGTAGATAGAAAATATATCTCGATCATATAATTGAAGATTTTTTAGAAACAATAGATCATAATTTACAAATTAGTTAAATTAACTATTCAGTTTGTTTACACTAATTAAGATATATATTATAACCTTGGACATATATTCAAGGTTCATCATATATAAGTTTATTACAATATTATAAATAAATAAAATTTTAAATGTATTGTAATATTTGTATATCACATTTTCAATGACTTACTTATATCTTATATAATATAATTTGAGTGTTAACAGTTCTTAAATATGAAAGAATGAATATTTGGGTCTTATAAGGATTATTCAACTTTTATAAAAACAGTGTTAAAAATCAAGTTTCTGATTTACAAATCAAATTTAAAATATATGATAAAAATGCTCTTGTTATATCTTCTCATTTTTATTTATGATTTGTTGAATTTAAATTTAATTTAATTTATTCAAATACCTTATTTAATATAAATATATATACAATATAAATATTAAAAAATTATACTAAAACTTGATAAAAAATAATATTTCTCAAAGTTAAGTCGTCATCGCTATTATTCTACTCTTTTGAGTATTTGAGTTAAACTCAATTAAACTTATTATTCATTAATAGAATATTAAATTTAAAGTTATTATTCATTAATAGAGTAGTCAATTAAATTTATTGGTCATATTTAAAGTTAGAGTGGTCATCACTATTATCAGTCCTTTTGACTGTTTGAGATTCATTATTAGTATAGTATTAAATTCATTTATTCAACCATAATAAATTTTTAATTTTAATTTATTATTTGTATATTTTTTTTATAGAATATATAGATTAAGAAAATCACACACTTTAAGCAATATTTTTTTCTTTATTATTTTAACATCTCTTTATCCAAATATTCATATAAATATATTCAATAAATTCTTAAATTACTTTTTTTAAATCCTGAACCTTTATCCCAAAAGTGAAAAGAACTCTTTATTTTTTACTCCAATAGTAAACTTTTATAAAACTCAACCTTCATTTTAATTTTGAATAACTCAAATTTTATATGAAGATTTCTTAATCATTAAATGTAATTGTAGAAATAATATATAGAGAATATCAAGATTGAAATTTTTTAGAAAGTATCGATAGTAATTTACAAACTAGATAAGTTAAGTAACTAGTTTATTATAGTAATTAAAATAGTTAATATCATCATATATCAATCTATTAAAATATTATAGATAGATAATTTTTTATATATATTTTATATAACTTGAATGTGGAGTATCTTAGTCGATATTCTATTACTCATCAAGTTTTAACAAAATAGAATATAAAATATATATATATATATCTTGAATTTAAATGAATGACATTACAAGGATTATTTAATCTCTCTAAAAACAGTAGTAAAATATAAAGTTTGTGATTTACAATCAAATTTAAAATATACAATAAAAATGTTGTGATATCTTCTCATTTCTATTTATGATATATTGAATTTAAAATTTAATTTAATTTATTCAAATACCTTATGTAATAGAAATATATATATATATATATATATATATATATATATATATAATATAAATATTAAAAAATTATACAAAAAATTGATAAAAAAAATATAATATTTTTTAAAGTTATGGATTGGATAAGGATGTAATGAGAATCCTACAAGAAACACCCCATTTCAAAATCCGAAACATGAAACAGATCACTCGTGATATATAAAGCCTGGACCAACCTTAAGATGGGAGTATGGTCCTCCTCACATACTCACGTGTCTCCAAATCTTAGAGGATATGGTTGTAACAATTACACATTGTAAGTTCATCCTTTAAAGAAAATAATATTAATAATTTTTCACCCTCTTTTTACAAAAATAAAATAAAGGAAGAAAACAAAAGTATCTCATGTTTTATTAATTTAATGTTTGTTTTCAACTATAACACAAATTCACACGTTTTGTTCATATATTTTTTTTATCAAAAAATATTAGTTATAAATATATTTATTTTTATTAGAAAAGAAAATTCGAATTCACAGCTTATTTCTTCTTCTCATTTTCATCATCAAACTAGTATGCGTATGATTTAATTACAATAATAATTGTGAGGAGGTTACTTTGTTTAAAAATAATAATCAACAAGTAAACAATTTTTTCTTTTATCATTTTAATTTCATATATTTTCAGGGACCATCATTTTGTGGTTCCGCATTCAATATTTTCTCTTGAATTTCAAAGAGAGTTGCCAAGTTTTCTGCTCTTCCTCTTTATCTTTTATGTCATCACGTGAAGGAGTATCATTTTGTGGTTCTCAATTGAACATGTTTTTATTGTTAAATTTTTTATTTGTAGTCCTTATGTGTAATTAATATCCTTTATGTATTTATCAATATTTATATTTTATAAGAAGTTTCAATTTATATTAAACACAATAAAATGTTTAAAATAAATTTAGAAAACTTAAAGACTATAATTAAATTTAAGAAATTCATAAATAAAAGAATCATACCATTAGTATATATTTTTGGGGAGAAAATTTTACTCTAATAACAAGCAAATATTTAAAAGATACCGTAGCAGACATAAAATTGAAATCCATCTGGAAGTAAAAAAAAAAATGAAAAAAAAACTTGATAAAGTAGCAAGGAAAAAAATATTTATCTAAAAAACAAAAAATAAAAAATAAAATTAAATATGCATATAATTATAAAATTATAATATATTTATTATTTATTATTTTTAACTAAATAGCTATTTGATTTACTTTTTTAATAATATATAAATATAATTATAAAATTATAAATTTTTAAAAATATTTGAATTTAAATTAATTGTAATAAAAAACATGAGTATATTAATTTTTTTTATAATTATTTTTATATCTACCACAGTCTATTAATAACATAATTGAAAGTAAAATATATGGATACGAATTTCTTTTAATATTTAATTTTTTATATTTAATAAATACCTAAAATTAATATTATAAATATGAGAAATAAAATAATTAAAAAACTATTTTTTCTTATATTTTTACTTTTTCTCTTTATTAAAAATAAAACATAGATATATTTTATTTACAATATATTTTGCTGAAAAATATTGGAGAAAAGGGACAATTATTTTTTAGTTTTAACTCTATAGTATAGAAAAAAATAGAAAATAATTATATAATTTTTTTAAATTAAATAAAGAAAATACTTTTTTTTATTATCAAATAAGAAAGATAATATTTTAATCTCTTCTATTTGCATCAATTGCTTTATTTCTTCCAATTTTATTTTCTTTTTACGCAAATGAACAAATCATGAATAAAATAAATTAAAAAAAAGAAAAAAATAGACCAAAAAGAAATAAGAAAAGTATCATGGAGATAAATATATATATATATATATATATATATATATATATATATATATATATTTGTGTTTTGAGGTTATATCTGGTTTTAGAAGTGAAATCACAGGAATGAAAAGAGAAAAGGATATCAAATAGGGAACCAAACCTTATTAACACTCAAATTTTGCATTACCGTACCTCCAGTTATATTAATTTCATTAGCTAATATATTTTTTATTATTTAAATATTTACATGACACACGAATCATAATATTTGAAAAAAATGCCCATAATGTTGGAAAACTATAATTGGACCTTATTTAATAAAAAATATAAAATAATTCATAGACTTAAAAAAAAAATCCAAAATCACTAATATTTTCTTACTTGTTATATATTCATTCGTTCTATTAAAAATAGTAAGGAATGCTTAAAATTTATTTATAAACTTTTAAATTGAAATATGCATTTTAAAAAGACAGTATAAAATTTAAAATACTTATGTATTAAAATATTTAACTAAGTTATAACTATAGTAACTTAGGAGTAAATTTTTAAAATTATCAATACAAACTGTTAAAATAAATCTATAATTCTTTAATTCTTTAATAGGAGATTAAAAGACTGTATCTTTTTTTATTATTATTATTTACAAATAGATATTTAATGAAAATTGGTAGTCTTGTTGTTCCACAAGAAGCAATTTTGTTTTAATGTCTAATATAATTCATATAATCCATAATCACTTTTTTCTTCTTAAAGTTAAATGCGAACAACATTCCACAATCCCTGGCTATAAAAAGGATATGCCCCCTTACATGCAGTGAATGTGAAAGCTTGAAAGTCCGTGTGGTTGAAGAAATTGTGTAATCCTCTTCATTCTTTTCCTATTTCTATATACTTTATTCATTTATATTTTACTATAAGTCTTGACCCACTAATTCTATTCGTTTATATTTGATTGTCAGTTCATATTTTGTTTCTCTTATATATATATATATATATATATATATATATATATATATATATATATATATATATATATATATATATTATAATATTCCAACATTGAAGGGTGAACTTGGTAGGGAAGTAATCCTCTGGTGGTTGAGTTGCAAAGTTCTTGGAACCAAGGCTCTTAATCACTCATACCCTTTGTATTCAAATATAACTGTAATTTCTTGTTGAAATCTGCAGAAATGAAGATATTAAAGTTATCATAGATAACAAGAAAGAGGGTAAAAGATAAAGAGTAATACTTTAATTTATTAGTCAATGTAGTCACTGAGCAAGAACATCTTTTTTCTAAAATAATAGCAAAACCATCTAATGTTAGTAAGAATACTTTTTGGTATATTATTTTGTAGAAGTTAGTAAGAAGTTTGAATGTTATTGAAAAGTACTCACCAACATTTTTTATATTTAATTAAATTTTATAAAAATATTATTCATTAAATAAATACTTTTAACAAAAAAAATACAGTATAACATTACGTAAACGTGAAAAATTTCAAAAGTCGATGTTCCTTTACTAAAGATTTAAAATATGAAATGTAGTAAAATGTTATAAAATAAATATATAATGTATTATGTTCTTACACTTTTGGCATTTAAAAGATATGTTATAGAGTGAAGATGTTGTATAATGTATTTAAAGGTATAGTAAGACTTATAAGAGGCAACATTAAATTAATTGTGGTGTATGGTGTTTGATCTCTAACATTTCACATTCCTCACTTACAAATTAAATTTACTCACATCACAGGTAGGACGGGTGTGAAAACATATTCAAACACTTTGTCAAGAATTACTCTCACCGAAGATGATCTCTCTAGGCTTCTCGCAGCTCCTCCAAATATTTTCATGCATTCTGCTTTTGACTCAATCATTTTCGGAAGATGATCGAACGGTAAATAATTTGTAAATCTAATGTTGCTCAAACAATTACAATTTGCTTAGTATATTTTATGAATTTTAAAATATTTTATTCATAAATATTTTTATTTTTAAAAAACATTGAATTGTTTTTAAGTGTTTTTTTTTTAAATTTTCAAAATGAACTAAAAATGATCTTACTGTGTTTAAATTATTTATTTTTGAATTTGTGTTTTGTCATGCAATCTAATCATTATCTGTACATACAGACTTACATCGTGTACATGGGGGAATATCCGGAGGGCGTGGAATTGGCAGAATCACATCACACTAGTGTGGTTCAAAGTGTTCTTGGCAGGTCATATATATTGTTCTACATTTTCATTCGATACATATATAGAAACGACAACATACGTAGTCTCAATTATCTATATCTTTATGTAAATCATAAATTTTTTGTCGCTTATTTGAATGTTTGGAGATAATGATCAATTCAATACTAACATGTATATTAAGAAGATAAAGAATATGATATTTTTTTAAATTTAGTTTATTACCTTAACAGTATGATACTAACATTTCATAATTTTTACTATTTTAGTTATTCTTTCACATATTTATTATATATAAAAATAAAAGTAAGAACAAAACAATATCATTTTGACCTTGTTTTATTTTTTAAGTTTCTATATTTTGGCACAATGTAAACTGCTATATCTGTAATCAATTACTCGTACTCGTCATATAGTGAAGCCTCTGTTGGAGTTAAATGATATTTTGAAGAACTTAACAAAACTAGATAAAATAAATTATTCTTTAGAAAATGGTCTTTAATATATTTTTAATTTAAATGAAACTTACGTTGGACCCACATGTAATATAATAGGTTTAAATTGTTTTAAGAAAAAGGCAATATTACACTACTGTGAAAAAAAAATAAAAAATCATCAATTATCATGGACAGTTGAATTGTAGTAAGATTGCGTGAAATACCTGCACTCTTCAAAGTAAGACATTATATGTCACTAATCATCAATTACACTAATATTTAATAGTTTTATTTAGACAGAAAGAGTAGCGTAAAGATTACTCTAAAATAAGGGCATTCTTGTGGAAACATTTTCAATTAAGAAGTGGTTTCTCCTTATATACTAACAGTTCCAAATTATATATATATATATATATATATATATATATATATATATACACACACAGAAATATCGCACCAGATGTTTTGTTGCACAGCTACAAGAGTTTGAATGGATTTGTGGCGAGCCTAACAAAGGAAGAAGCAAAGAGAATGAGAGGTAATTCTCATATGCATGTCAGGCAATATATATCTGTATATGACGTATATATGCACTGTGAATGAGAAACGAGACATTATTTTTTCTGCAGAAATGGATAGTGTGGTTTCTGTTATACCAGACAGTATCCAAAAGCCCCAAACATCAAGGTCTTGGAACTTTCTTGGCTTCCCCGAAGATGTTAAAAGAAATACTGTAGAAGAAAGCAACACAATCATTGGAGTAATTGATACTGGAATTTGGATTGATGCTGATAGCTTTAAGGACACTGGATTTGGTCCAGCACCAACGAAATGGAAGGGCATTTGTCAAGACTTCACTTGCAATAAGTATGTACAATAAGATTAATTTATCACAAATATTACAATCAACGTAAAGATATTTTTACTCACTGCAACTGCAATTGAGATTAATTACATCAAACGATCATATTTGGCTTTATAACTTTTTGCAATTTTAAATTTAGAAATTGTAACCTCATGACTGCATTTAATCAACAATGGGAATCAAAATATTACTTGCAGCAAATTGTTAAGGCATGCATAAATGATGATAAATGTTTGTAAATTGCAGCAAGGTAATTGGGGCAAGACACTTACGCCTTAAGGGTTTGATTTCTAGAGATGACATAAAATCTCCAAATGATACAAATGGTCATGGGAGTCATTGTGCATCCATTGCTGCTGGAAACATAGTTAGGTCGGCAAGTGTGTTAGGGTTTGCTCCAGGAACATCCAGAGGAGGAGTTCCATCAGCACGTATTGCTGTATACAAAGTGTGTTGGGAAGTGGGTTGTTCAACTGTTGACATCCTTGCAGCATACGATTACGCCATTGCAGATGGTGTTGACATCCTTTCTGTCTCAGTCGGAGCTACAACCGCAGGGCAAAAGAATTATTTTGATGACCCGCATTCAATAGGAGCTTTCCATGCAATGAAGAAAGGCATATTAACATCAACATCTGCAGATAATTTGGGCCCAACACCTTACACAACCTCAAAGTTGGCACCTTGGTTGCTTTCTGTAGCTGCCTCCACTACAAATACAACCTTTCTCACCAGAGTCCAGTTGGGCAATGGCAAGATTTATGAGGTAATATCCATTATAGAGACATGCATGCGGGGATACGTCATATTTTTTAATAAAACATTTTACACGATACCATGATTTTAAATATTTTTCATGATGAATTTTAAATTCAATTATCATAATGCACTACTCTTCTTTTCTCTACTTATTTCACATAATTTTTTATGATTATCTTACATCCATTTTAAAAAAAGAGTATATTTTACTTCCTTTTTTTTTTTCATTGTGTTGGTTGATATGACATTTTGTTAGAGCGAGAAATTATTATACTACATGAGATTTTATAACTTATGTCAATTTTTACGTGACATGTTAATTAGTAATTATTTTTAAATTAAAAACTATAATTACATGTTATATGGAAATTGATTAGTCTAGACTCGTGATATCAAAGCATGCTAGTGCAAGTGTGTGTGAAAAATTTATTGGAGAGTGCGATAGAATAGTTTTTTTCCTTCTTTCCTCCTATAGATCACCATTCAAGCTTTCTTACTCCACTCCAATGGGTGCATTCTTCCTTGCTTAAAAGGAAAAAAAAATTATAATTATTCTTGACAACTTAATAAAAACCTAAAAGGTTTCTCTCAACAAATGCAGGGAGTTTCAGTAAATTTATTTGATCTCCTAAGTAAACAGATACCATTAGTGTATGGTGGAGATGCAACCAAGGCTGGAGCTAATAGTACCCTATCTAGGTACCAATATTTACCAGTTTCTCCTTTTTATTACTTTGGTATGTACATAGTTACTGGTCTCTTATATTTTCTATTACATTTTTAGAATTCATTCTAACACTATCATTGCTCAGTGCCTGCTTTGAAAATGCTCTGGATGCAACTGTGGTGAAGGGAAAGATTCTTTTGTGTGACAAAATCCCTTTTCCTTCATTTGTGGGATTAGCTCAGGGAGCTGCTGGTGTTATAATTAGAAGTGATGCTGTTCCTTTAGATGTCTCAAAAGTATTTGCATTGCCAGCTGTCCACATTAGCCTAAGTGACGGCAACCTCATATATTCTTATCTAAAATCATCGAGGTACAAAAGGTTTCAATAAGATCATATATAGATATATAATTATGTATATCCTTAAATTGATTGATTTATATGTTACCGAGTATTACAGTAATCCAACAGCTACTATATTTAAGAGTTACGAAGGGAAGGATACAACAGCCCCAAACATTGGTCATTTCTCATCTAGAGGCCCAAACAAAATCACTCCAGAGATTCTTAAGGTACCTCGATAGCACAATTATCCAATCAACCAAACTTTTACAAGGTTATTTGCTCATCGCTATCATCTGTTGATGTTGTAGCCTGATTTAGCTGCTCCAGGAGTGAACATTGTAGCTGGATGGTCTCCACTTGGTTCAATTTCTGAGGTTAAAAGCGATCCTAGAAGATCAGAATACAATGTACAATTTGGAACTTCAATGGCATGCCCTCATGTTACTGCTGCAGCTGCTTACGTCAAAACATTTCATCCCAACTGGTCTCCTGCTGTACTTAAATCCGCATTAATGACAACTGGTAATGGCCTCCTTATATCTAGACATGTTACAAGAAAAAACTTTCTTTCTCGCGTAGGTTATTATTGCAACGTTAGAATAACTAGAAAAAAGAAGAAGATAGGAAACGGGAACAAGCAAATTTAGTTTCTTTCACAAACATGTACAGGATGCAAGATTTATTTTGTTGTGAGATATCCATGAGTCTTCCAAAATCCTATATTAAATTTAACGGATTAGTATTTGACTCATTTTATTACAGCTACTCCTATCAATGGTGCACTTAAGGGAGATAATGAATTTGCTTATGGTGCGGGGCAAATCAATCCTATCAAGGCAGTAAATCCTGGATTAGTTTATGATGCTACTGAAACTGATTATGTCAAGTTTCTGTGCGGACAAAATTATTCTACAGCATTTCTGCAAAAAGTCACAGGAGATAATAGCACTTGTACGGGTGCAAATAAGGGATCTGTTTTGGACCTTAATCTCCCATCTTTTGCTCTATCTACAACTCGTTCAAAGACCAATGATGTAACTTTCAGTAGAACTGTAACAAATGTTGGATCAAGTAAGTCCTCGTATAAAGCCAAAATAACTACACCTTCGTCTTCCTTGAGCATCAAAGTAGAGCCAAATGTTTTGAGCTTCTCAGCTTTGGGTGAGAAGAAGACGTTCACCCTCAAGATTGAAGGAAAGATTGATGCAGATACAGTTTCTTCGTCTTTGGTCTGGGATGATGGCACTTTTCAAGTAAGGAGCCCCGTTGTTGTTTATGTTCTCCCATAAATTCTCCGCTACCAACTCTTGTCAATGAAGAAACAAGCAACATGATAGCGATGGTTATGTTATTAGTTTGCTTTTTCTTTTTCCTACTTAAGTTTGGTTAATAAATGTTTTCTGGTTGCGTTGTAAGCCAGAAATAATGGTAAAGTGCTTTGTAATCCAGGAATAAAAATCCAAATAATGGAAGGCTCCTTTCTTACCGTGGGAGACCTATGCTAGAATTCATCACAATATATATACTCATAGTATCGTATGGCATCGACATCTTACAACTCCTACTCTTTAAGGTTTCACAATTCTCAAGGACTCAACGTTGACGATGAGCAAACTAATTTAGATAAAATTAGCCAATTTTGATATTTCTATAGAACATTCAATGCAGATTGAAATAATAAAAAAAATAGTGTAGATTTCGCAATATACTCAATAATCACGCCCCAATGAGGATTTACTCTCTTAACGGCACCATATCCACTGCGGATCAAACCCCTAAAGTTTTGTAACTCTCATATAATTTATGATTTTGTCCCCCTAAACTTAATTAACATTTAATATATTTACTTATATATTTACAATTTTATCCTCTCAGCTACCTTCTCAGAATTTATGTAATCTCTCACTATAATTTATGATCATTTAGTATATTTAAGTATATATTTACAATTTTATTTTTTTACCTTTTCATCTTCTTTCTTCCTTTTATATTTATTTATTATTTATTAATAATATATTATTTGCTTCCCAAAATCAATGGTCAAGATCCGCCACTAACCATATCATCTTCTGTTTGGAGGAGAAAAGAAAGTGAAAAAAAAAAAAGGAAATTGAAAGAAGAATAAAATAATAATAGAAAGAAAGATTTTCCCAAACGTATTCTAATGAAATAATGCATTGGAAAATTATCCAAGTAAAGTTGAATTAATACAAAAAATCTAGACAAACCAGATTAATATTAAATTTCGATCATTATTTTTAGTTTTAACTTTTAACTATAAAATAATTTTAGCAACTGTTAAAAAAGGGATATTCGTGGTATCAAAGGAATGTCCTTCTTACATTGTTACAATCTCTCAATTATTCAGGAAATTGGAACTCTCTTCCATGTTTCACTCAATTCCTGTGAAATCACGGTTAAAAAGATAAAGCTTGGGCTAATATTACCCTAACCTTAATGATCAACATGTTGAAAATTTTCAGACCTATAATAATTTCTGAGATGGAATATATATATATATATATATATATATATATATATATATATATATATATATATCCTGAAAAACATTATCAATGCATACATTGGTCTCAACTCTTCAACATGTGACGGGCCTTGTCATATACTCTGGCTTTATCAAAGGGTTTGGGTTGGTGTCAGTGAATGGTACAATTGCTTCACTAAAAAAATGATTTTTTCTTTTTTAAAAAAAGTTAAAGAAACATAGAATAAAATTTATGAAGTTAATTTTCTGTCTTTTTCATTCTTACAAAACTTATTATTTGTATTTTTTTTTTCTCTTTCTCTTTAACTAAACATAATTCTACGAATTCAATTTCAAAATAATTTTATGATAAAAAAAATTTAGATAAAAAACTCCATGGATAGATTTTTAAACATAATTATTAAAACATTTTATAATTTTGTCATGCATGAAAAAATCATAATCAAATAATTAGCAAAAAACTTTGAAATTATCAGTACAGTTCAATCATGTTAAATAGGGTTTTATAACTTTTTCTTGTGTATCTCTGTTCCTCCTTGATCAAACATATCACTATGGTTTGCGTCCTTAGAAGGGCAAGTGATTTTTGTAATATTGAGATGTGTTGATCTTCGTAATGATCATCTTCTTTGAGTTGAGAGGTTCTCTTCTCCATGTTAAATCTTTTTTTTCATATATATATTAGTATAAAAATAATATTTTATAATTATTTGTTATTACAATTCTAATTCATTGTACGTAATAAATTGGATTGGATGGTGGTAATTTTATAATTAAAAATTATTTTTTTATAACTTTTTATGTTGTCATAGTAAATAGATTATATGTCTTGTAATAAGTGTTTTATAAATTATAATTTAAACATTTTTTTTATGTGGATTCGATTCTGAATCGTTATAGTAAATCTTATTATGACGGTTCAATTTTAAATCGATATAGAAAGTGACTTTGTTAATTTTAAATATAAGATATTTTTTATACCGGTTAAAATTGAACCGTTATAATAAGTATTTACTTATGACAATTCAATTTGAACCGTCATAAAAAGTACCCAGATTTAAAATATTTTATTTTGTTTTTCCTCTTCATCTTTTCCATTTTTTCATTTTTTTCCTTGTACGAAGAACTCTACTCAACTTTTTCTTTTTTTTTGTTTCATTATCTCCTCATTACATTCATTTACTTTTGTTTTCCTCATGCTTGAACTACCACTTTCCACAATCTTGTTTCTTCCTCGTTTACAACAAAGATAAAATATAGAAGTATTATCTCATTTTTCTATTAGTTTATATTTTCTTATTTGATTTAATGAAGTCATCTAATATGTTATATTACAATTATTATTATGAATATTTTTCTTTTATGAATAATTTTTTATTTAATTTAAGTTAATATATTTACATTTTATGTTTAATTGTATTTTCATACGGGGATAATTCTTGTATTTAATTTTCAAAATTTATTATATTAATGTTTAATAAAATATTTGTGAGAAATATGATTATATAAAAAATATTTAACATAATTTTTTACGATTATGATAAGAACTGACATAACAAATACTTACTATGTCGATTATTAATCGATATATAAAATTATATATTTTATATCACTTGAATTTATTCTCGTTCTACAACCAACATAAAAAATTTAAAATAATCTTCAAAGTTTTTTTTTTCACTGTGAAACTGGAACATGTAGTTAGTAGAACAAGTATTTACTTTAAAATTATTTACATATATTTATAATTTGAATGAACTTTTATAATCTTAATTTCAAATTAAAACTTAAGACAGCTTATCTCTTTATTGATTTAATTTTATCTGGAGATATACTCCGATTTTTGTATTGGGTTGGGAGTGTCAAATAAGGACATCAATGTCATATACTGTCTGTGAAATTTGTTTCTTAGTATATATACATGGCCCAACTCCAGCTGGATATTAATGTCTTTGTTTTTTCTTTCTGGTTGTCTCCTTGCAGCCATTGATTAATTTCAGACAGCTGAAGAGACATAATGGATAGCAAGAATGACAATGAATGGTGAAGAAAAATGGAGTTATGTTATAAATAAATATAACTTAATAATTCGGGATGATTTTTATGGAGTAAGAAAATATTAGATGGGATACTTTGTCTTTTAGGCAAAAAAAAACTGTTTCATGTACATTTCACGTGTTAAAGTTTAAAAGTGTGTTAGATACTAGTAAAAGATGCAATGCATTTAATTCTTTGACTAAAAGTTTTTTTTTTTTTTTACCTTTTAAAAGTAAAATAAAATAAAAGACTGAAGCTTAACTACTAACGGCAGTTTTTTATTGATATTTTATTCAAATTATTAGGTCTAATATTCTCACTAATGGATATATTCAAATATTTTTTTAGTAACTTCTACAATAAACTTTTCTATAAACCAATTACAATCATTGATCAAAGTAAGACTACTGTACATAAATATTCAAGTAGATAAACCCATGATGATCTGGTTCAATAAAATTTGTAGTTAGAAAATTAAGATCTATGACAAAATGTGAAACCATCACTATTTTAAAATTATATGTATAAAATTAAATTTAATTAAAAAAATTGCCCATAATAATACAGTACTTCCAACTTAGTATTGAGTATCAATAAATAACAATATTTTTTATTTTTTTAAAGTGTGGATATACAAAATTATCATAATGGAAACTAGGAGTTAAGATTATATAGTAAGAATCATTTATCATTGTAATTAATACATCAATAAATAAATAAAATATTCAAAAGGTTATTAGGTCAAAACTCATCGTAAAATAAACAAATTTAAATTGAGACAAACTTTATTCATTTCTAAATAAAACAAATTCTCTAGAATTAAAAATCTCTCTTCATCAATAAAATTATATCTATACTCAAAATTATAATGAACTAATTTATTAAAACATGTATACTTTTTCTTGAAAATTGAGAGAACCCTAAAATTATGAAAGCGAATTATCGATCTTACGTATAATTCAAGAATGGAAAATGTCATAATTATTTTACTCAAAATTGTACGCAGCAAATTTATTTAAATTTTGAATTCAAATGGATAAAGAGCTAGTAATGTATTATTCTTTAGTACTTACTTTCATCATATTTAAATTAACTTCATTCACCTTTTGAAGTATTACTTTAACTCGTGTTAATTTGACTTGATTCCATTCTACTTCTATTAATTGTGGTAAATTCCTCAGCTGACACGACATTGAGAGTTCCAAATATTTTACAATGATGAAACTGTAATTCGTGTATGAATGTTAAAAACGTGCACCATGAAAGCATCCAATTTCTTGGCTATAAAAAGGTGAGACAAGGGTGTGTCCCTTCACATCCTTTGCTTGTCAAGAGAGAAAAATATGTGTGGTCGACGACATTGAGTATGCTCCTTATCTATTCCTATTTCTATATACCTTATTCATTTATATTTAATTATAGCTTCGTTTTTGGTGTACATTTATAAGAGTGCTCTATTTCTATCATTTCATATTTACATAAGAATGGTTCTATGCTGGATGTTTTCTAATGATTCTTATTACCTCTATATTACACTATGCCAATACCATGTTTTGCTTTTATTTATGATTATTATTTTTGTTCTTGTCCAGATATTTTATATTCATGATTTTGATTTGCCATGATAATTACCTTTTGTGATGATTAATTATGATAAAATAATTTAAGGGCAGTAATAATGATCCTGTAGGAGACGAGTTCTTGAAACAAAGGTTCATAGTCTATTCATTTTTTCTTCCTTCACAACTTTTTATTCTCTCACTCTCAATAAAAATAACACAGTTTCTTCTGCAGCTATCTCGATCACTACACATCACCTTCGTTCGATTACACACTTTTCTTAGACAACAATAATTTGAATTCAACCTCTAACTTTTACAGTGCAACAATTGAGAGAGAGAGAGAGAGAGAGGAATTTGGAAAGGTAATGGTGGGTTTGGTGTTGGGGAGTATGATGAAGACCCTCAAAAAGGGGAAAATGGAAAGAATAAAACTTAATAATTATGACTATTGAAAATTGTCATTATATTACAAATGATAACTTTAAATATGTGCATTTAGTAATAATTTAAACCCGTAATTAAATGTTAATGCCCTTTGAGATTTAACATATATACATGTAATAAAAGGACAAAGTTTACAATATTTTAAAATGTTCGGAATAAAATGCACAGAAGACAAATTTTCCAAGAAAATGAAGATTGGAGACATGATTATCTGTCTAAAATTAATTTAAAGATGTCAAAATGGAAGAAAAGATCAATTATTACTTAACTTTTTTTAAATGTAAATAATGTGCACTTAATTTTATTTAAATGAAAAAAATGGTAAATAACCCATATTGAAAAAAAATGTAATTTGTAATTTTTATGTTTGTTGTTATAAAAAAACGTTTTTTCCATTTTCAAGAATTTGTTTCTTATAAAAAAAACACTTAATAGTGAAAGGTCTTGTTATTAGAGATGTTATTAGGATTTTGTCAATAAAATTAATTTCAATATACATTATATTTTAAAATATAAGTAAATTACTATATAAATATTTAGTTTACCGAAATTTTCACATAATGATCGACATAATATTAAATATATATTTAAAATGTTATTAATAATTGTTAATAAGAGGTATGATCTCTATGTATAGCAGCATTTGACGTTCACTAACAAATTAGTTTTACTCACAGAGGTTGAAAGTGTGTGAAAACACTTTAGATTTACTCTCACCCAAAGATGAACTCCTTGTGCTTGTGGCGTCTCCTCCAAATTACTACATGCATTCTGCTTTTGACTCACTCATTTGCAAAAGATGATCGAAAGGTAAATAACATATATCCAATCTTGCTTCACTTTGTATTTGATTTTTTTTTTCCCGGTCCTTCTATCTTGAGAAGTTATATCTTTCGAACAAAATGTATGATTTTCTTAAAATAATTCTAATACATAAAATAAAATAATGTATATATATATTGTATTGTTTTTAAGTTAAGAAGAGTTTGGATTAGTTTCAAATGAATATATACATTAACCAAAAAATGATTTTATGCAAGGTTGAATATAATTCTCAATCTTTAAGCATCCACATGAAATTAACCTAGTAGGACTATTATTTTAAATTTCCTCTTTAATTTTTTTTTTAATTGATCTTGCTCGTACTCTAATCCAATTATACAGATTTACATAGTCTACATGGGCGAGTATCCGAAGAGCATGGAATTCACAGAATCACTTCACACCAGTGTGGTTCAAAAAGTCCTCGGCAGGTCTTAATTATATATATTATTACAAAATAATAGCTTCCTATTTTCATTAGAATATTCATCTAAACGACTACCTATATTTGTGTCTTGTTATATTCTTTCTTCAAAAAATGTGTAATTCTTTCTTCAAAACTTACGATCGATTCAGAATATATTCTTTTTTTCTTTTACTATAATATTTGATTAAAATTCCAAATGGCATATACGGCCATGCAGCAAATTTGCACCAGATATTTTGCTGTACAGCTACAAGAGTTTCAATGGATTTGTGGCGAGGCTAACAAAAAAAGAATCAGCAAGAATGAAAGGTGATTTTGATACAATTATGACTCTATATGTAAGTCTTATATGATGTATACATTTTTTGAAAATTTTGGATTTTTGGGCAGGAATGCATGGTGTGGTTTCTATCATACCAAATAGAGTCCATAATATCCAAACATCAAGGTCCTGGGACTTCATTGGCTTCCCTGAAAATGTCCCAAGAACGAACATAGAAAGTAACACAATCGTTGGAGTCATTGATTCTGGAATTTGGACTAATACCTATAGCTTTATAGACACAGGATTTGGTCCACCACCACAGAAATGGAAGGGAACATGCTACAACTTCACTTGCAATAAGTAAGTAATGTTTTTTATTACATGCTACAACACAGCATGTCTTGTTTCAATTTTAAAACTCACATTTTCGGTTTTTCATGTCAAATTTGAACGAACAATGATAAAATTAGTTATCCTAGCTTCATTCTGATCCACCTCAACATTACATCAATGAGGATCCAAACACATAAGTTTTGCATTTTGACAGTTGACAACAAGAATTACTTTTATCCAACAAGAATACACTTTACTATTTAACTATATATCATCGTTTTGTCATTTTTTTGGTGTACTTTATAAGATTTTTTATGTATATTTTACCGATCTGTTAAATAAGTAACAACATTTGATGAATTGTGTTCAGCAAAATAATTGGAGCAAAATATTTTCGCATTGGAGGTGTGTTCTCCAGTGAGGACATCATATCTCCGACGGATACGAGTGGTCACGGGTCTCACTGTGCATCCACTGCTGCTGGAATTCATGTTAGGAATGCAAATCTGTTTGGGCTTGGCTTAGGAACAGCCAGAGGAGGAGCTCCATTAGCCCGCATTGCTGTGTATAAAGTTTGTTGGACAAGGGGTTGTAATGGTGCTGACATTCTTGCAGCATTTGATGAAGCCATTGTCGATGGAGTTGACATTCTTTCTGCTTCATTGGGACCTACAGTCGTCGTACACGCCCCATATTTTCAAGATGTATTTGCAATAGGAGCTTTCCATGCAATGAAGAGAGGCATATTAACTTCTAAATCTGCAGACAATTTGGGTCCAAACCCTTTCACAATGTCAAATGTTGCACCCTGGTTCATTTCTGTGGCTGCCACCACCATAGACAGAAAATTTTTCACCACTCTCCAACTGGGCAATGGCCAGATCTTCCAGGTAGTTTTCCCTTTAATTTTTTTTCCTTATTTTTTATAATACTAAAAAATAACCTAAAAGGTTTCCCTCAATATGTGCAGGGAGTTTCAGTAAATACATTTACTCCAACACAGAGAGGTTATCATTTAATTTATGGTGGAGATGCACCCGCTGCTGGACATGATAGTTCCACATCCAGGTACCAACGTTTATACCAATATCTCTTTTTTAATTATCTGGTTAAATTACTTTTCTTTAGTTTCTTTCTTTATGTATAAAATTTAATTTAGCTCCTCTATTTTAAAGGGTTCAATTTGATGTCTTAATTTTCTAAAATGTTTAGCTCCTTTTCCCTGTAATCAAGTTGACACAGTTAACGCGATGCAATATTGAATTAATGGTTAATGCTTTTCTTTTATTACAATTCAGAACTTCATTCTATAACATTAGCATTGCTTAGGTTTTGCCGTGAAAATTCTTTGAATGGAGCTCTGGTGAGTGGGAAAATTGTTTTATGCGATGGCTATTCTCATTCTTCACGTGTGGGATTTGCTTCTGGGGCTGCTGGACTTATATTCAGAAGTACATTGCCTTTAGTTGTGGCCGATATATTTGCATTGCCAGCAGTTCACATTACTGCAAGTGACGGGAACCTCGTTTATTCTTATATAAAGTCAACAAGGTACAAAACTTTTCATCAATAAGATCATACATAAATACTATAAAACTTTGTTTAATTAGTCTTGATTTTATATACTTATATGTCACCGACTATTGCAGCACTCCAGCGGCTATCATATATAGGAGTCATGAGGGAAAAGATCCATTAGCCCCTTTCGTGCCTCGTTTCTCGTCAAGAGGTCCAAATAAGGTCACTCCAGACATTCTTAAGGTAACTTCATGTAGAATTAAACAATCAATAATCTAACCGATTCAAGGTCATTTGCTTTATTTCAGTTATCTCTTGATTTTGTAGCCTGATATAGCAGCTCCAGGAGTTGACATTCTGGCTGCATGGTCTCCAATTTCTCCTATTTCTAGTGTTAAAGGAGAAACTAGAATATCGAACTTCAGTATCATATCTGGAACTTCAATGGCATGCCCTCATGTTACTGCAGCAGCTGTTTACGTCAAATCATTTCATCCCAACTGGTCTCCTGCTGTACTTAAATCCGCATTGATGACAACTGGTAATGGTCTCCGTGGCATCCGCAGATGCTGCACTCATTTTATGCCTTTTTCTTGTCCCTGAATTTGAAAACATTTATTCAATAACTCTCTCTCTCACCTTTTTTTATAACGTTAACTTTTCCTCGTGCTCGTTTTGTTGTTTTCTCAAACACCTTTTTCTACACTAACTTCAGGGTTTTATTCCCTTTTAGAGGCGTGAAAAATGTAGGAGAAATGGGGTGTGAAAGTTTTAATTAGTTCTCAATATATAAACATAAAGAGAAAATATGATAACCTAAAACCTCATGCATTACCAGCTTAAATATTTCTGTTGGGAAAACCTTATGCATTGCCAATTTTGATCTTTTATTATTTACAGCTACCCCTCTGAGTTCTGCACTTAATACGGACGCTGAATTTGCTTATGGTGCGGGGCAAATCAATCCTGTCAAGGCCATAACTCCTGGACTGGTCTATGATGCTGACCAATATGATTATGTTAAGTTTCTGTGTGGACAAGGTTATAGTTCATCGTTGCTTCAAATAATTACAGGAGATAATAGCACTTGTACAGCAGCAAATATAGGATCTGTTTTCAACCTGAATCTCCCATCTTTTGCTCTAGCTACAGCTCGCAATAGCCATACCAGTGTCACTTTTGGTAGAACTGTTACAAATGTGGGATCGGCTACATCCAGATATAGGGCCATAATAAGTACACATCCATCTTCTTTAAACATCCAAGTAGTGCCAGATGTTTTGGTCTTCTCATCTTTGGGTCAGAAGCTGTCCTTCACCCTTAAGATTGAAGGAAGCATCAATGCAGACATAGTTTCTTCGTCTTTGATTTGGGATGATGGCACTTTTCAGGCTAGGAGCCCCATTGTTGTTTATGTTTCATAATTCTCTGCTGCTAACCCTTGTCAATGAAGAAACAAGAAGGTTTGTGTAATGTATTTGGTTTGCTTTTTCTTTCTTCTTGTTGAAGTTTTAGTGAATAAATATTCTGGGTGGGCTGTCAGCCAGAGATGATGATCAAGTACTTTGTAAGCCAGAAATAAAATCAAGATAACGATTTCTTTTATCCAAAGTATTCTCTACAAGACCTTCTCAGTATTTTAAATGTCATTATTACAGCGTATACATTCATGATCATTGGTTATATTAATATGATAAGGGTAAGTGTATTAATCGTCAATAAATTTTTAAAATCATACATATAGAGAGAGATTGTTTAAGTTTATAATTATTCTAATTCCATCAAAACTAAACCAGAAGGTTGATAAGTATTTCTGTTTGATTTCAAGATTGAGATTACATTTTAGAATATTTAAAAATTATAAAATTAATAAGAAAATTTTGAAGATTAGGACTTCACACAATAATTTACTAGTTTTAGCAATTAATTTATCTTCCAAAAAAAAATCAAGAGTCTGAAATCATGTAAAAGGCTAGTCAAACAATGTCATATAGGCAATATATATTAATATGAAAAGAATCAAGAAGAAAACTAAAAACAAAAAACAAGGGACTTCGCGTATGGTATATAAATTTAAAAGATCTAAGTAGTCAAAATTTAATATATTTAATTGTAAATTTAGAAAATTGAAGAGGGGGTCCTTGGTATAGCATATAGGATTGCCCCTGGGTGTGCCTATGCTATTGGCAATGGTAAACAGTATCTTTGGCCTTCGATATTCAAGAGCAGGTCCTTGTTAATGATTCTGCTGCCAAGAACCCTAAAGATAATTCTCCCATCAAGGATTTTGTGACAACTTGCTAACTCAGCCTTATATATTCACCTTCAGAAATTGTTATAGCAACTTCATCTCCCTTCATACAAGGTTTAGGAATTGGGAAACGTTAATAAAACAAGACGCTTTATATAGTGGTTTACACTTGAGACTTGATGAATTATAGGTAAGCGTACCAAAATTATCAATTGCATTATAGTATTTCTCAATTATATGCTTACTAAGTAGATTAAAACAGAATAAGTTTTGTAAATAAGAGTTAAATTGAAATTAAATGACAAAGAACTGTAAATTATTGAGAAAATATCAATTAAAGGTACTTAGGATTGATTTCCTTCCTTATTCCTCTTTTGTAATGACTATGTCAATTAAGAACGTCAATTAACCTAACAATGTTGATGTCACCTACTCAAATCATCCATGTTGATTCCTCACACATGAAATTCATAAGAAAACCTAATAAATGTTGATTCCTCACACAATTAAGAGATTTTCCAGCATTAGGTTTAGGGTGTTTAAGCAATTGATACATTCATTCTATTCCTGGCAATTAAGTAACAAATATTTTTACCGTGATCTAGGATTCAAGATATATTTTCCAATCATACCTCAAACAATCAAGAATAAATCATTCCAAAGCATAAAGGATAAGAATAACAACATCAAAGCATAGATTAATATCTCAAAATATCACCATGATACAAAAGAGTTCAAAGGAAGTGCATTGAATCCTAGGATAATGAAGTTAGTCACTCATGTTGGTCATTACAATGCTCTAATTGATGAAGAAGTGAAGAATTGATGAAGATTAGACAAAACCCTAACAGTAGTTGTGTCTCCTCTCCTCCAAGACGGTTTGCTTTTCTCAAAACACAACTTATCTTTTTATAAGAGAATTTGGGTCGGGTCTTGCATCATTCATTCGCTTAAGCACTCTTCTTTCTCTCAATTTTACTCCAATTATGCTCCTTACTCTTGTATCAATGTATTCTCAAATTCATCCTATATTATGCTCATTATTTTTGTATCAAGGTATTCTTAAATTCATCCTATATTGGGAGAAAAATATATTAAAATTAACATAAATTAAATAGTTTTATAACAATTCAAGGTATAATTATATCAATTTTTTAGCACTTAACAAGACTACTCTTATATACTATTCTTTTGTTAGGAGAAGAATCGCATATATAAGAATAGCATCATATGGCTCAAAATCAAGAACCCATAAAACTTGCAAAACAAGCAACCAAGATCCCCAGCAAGACCATGAATTTCTTGAACCGTGTGCTTTCCTACGTAGTCTCTCTCTTCTAAACACCTAAACTTTAGTTTAATTTGAATTAGATGCATGAACATTATCTCGATAAAAAGTTATTCTAAAAATAAAAAAGGCTAAATAAAAGATATAACAGTATACATAAGGTTGTTTGGATAAATCCTTGAGTATGTTTTGATAAACTTTTTTAATAAATATATGTTTTTCATACATTTTTTTTAATTAAGAAATCAAATAAAGTCATTTACTTAACATATTGTTGAATACTAGTTAGTAATATTTTCTTTATTACAATTCAAAACATCATTATAACATTATCCTTTCTTAGGTGTTGCCATGAAAAGTCTTAGGATGGAGCTTTAGTGAGGGGAAAAATTGTTTCCTTCTTCAAAATTGTTGGTCGTTAAATTTGAAGGAAACGGGACTTAGAATTTAAAAGGTATGGGCCACGATAAAAGTACTAAACTTAATTATTGTTAAATGTGTATATTACTTTCAATATACGCCAGAAGATTAATGCAAAGGTCAAGCAAAAATTCACCAAGACATAAAAATGAGTTCGTTTGCAAGTTTGGCCAGTTGAATGTCATATTAAAGAATCATTATTGAGTTTGCAAGTGATTTTCTTTAAAGATATTATGAGAATTTATTTATTTATTAAAATATAATCATGATAACTATTATTAACTTTTAACGAAAATTTGATCTTATTGAAATATCAAAGTAACATTAATAAATATAGAATTTTTTGTATTAGTTGTAATAAAAACTTTGGTAAAAAATAAACTTTCTAATTTTTTTAAATAATTAAGTAGAAAATATACCTTATTAAAAAAAACCTTATTAAAAAAATCTTCACTTTTATTTTTATCATAACTTATTAAAAAAAAAAAAAGGTTTCTACAACAATTTAAAGTCAACTTTGAAAATCTTCACTTTTATTTTTCATTTAAGACAGAGAAAAAGTCAACAAGTGTTAAAACCTTTTTTCTTAGTATATAAAGATAGTATCATGGTATAAATAATTATGTTGAAGATTAAGGTATTGTCATAGGTTAAGTGATAGAATTATGTACTTTTGAAACTCTTAACCTAAATTAAGGTTCTATTGTTAGCCTTTTTTTGGCTTTATGTTAGAGAATGGTCTCTAATATGTTTAAAACTCGATTGGATTAATTGAATCAATTCTAAGGTTTAATAATCTTCATTAGTCAAATCAGTAATAAATAAATTTGTATTCTTTAATTTTATATAATATTTTAAGGAATAAAATAATATAAAATTATAAAAATCACAGATCTATAAATTATAAATTAAAATAAATTACTAAATTACATATTTTAAAAGATTAAATTTAATAATTTATAAGATCTATTTATTCATTTTAAAATAGTTTAGATAAATTAAAATTAAAAAAAAACAGTTGAAAATAGTTTTCTATTTTAACATCATTGGTTTTGGATAGCTTCAACTAATTATTTCTCAATTCTACAAAATTATTTGAGTTTCTGAAGATTATAATATCAATCTTCGTACCGATTTATACAAATTTTAAGTTGGACCAATTGAATTAGCTTGTTGGGTCCTATTTTAAACATAGTGAAATTGTTGAATTTTGACTAATCTCTTTTATGGGTTTGGTTGTAAAAAGAATGAATACGATTATACAAGATGAAAATAATTCCGATCACTCTTTGAGAAAAGACTTCTTTGAGCTATTATGATTCTGTGCAAATGGCTTATGATCGGTGCATAGAACTTGCATCTAATCCACTCATAACCTGTCCCACCGGTTATATAACTTTCCCACGTCCTGTGAGCCAGGGACTCCATGAAGAAAACTTATTTTGTATGAAGCTACTCAGTTAATCGTTCCTGAATTGCTTATGTAGCCAATCCTAATTGATCATAGCCTTGACTTTTGACCTTTAATACTTCCATGTCCGTGACACTACAACTCATATAAAATCTTGACCTTTGATGTCCTGTAAACTTAGTAGTCCAACATAATAAAAAGTAAGGCCTTTTTCTACGTTGGTAATGATATAATCCTACCCAGAAAAAGTGTTATTTAAATACCTATTTGGATCTAATAATATGCTACCTTTTCAGAAGAACTTACATATTTATCACAGGCCAGTACAAATAACCATAATAAATTCTAGGCACAGCAGACATGCATAGCTCTAGCACATATAATCTGCTATACATATATCCCAAGCAGATACAGATTCAGCCCTGTAGCAATAGATGTACATATTAGGAACACATCGAAATGAAATATATGTAAGAATAGAACGTCTTAGAAATTTATCTCACTAAACGATGTAAATTTCCTAAC